TTGAATAATACAAATACCAAAGGTCAAATGCAGGGGTTCGGGGAGTTTCTTGTATGATATGAACAAGCTCCTTGTATACGGAATGCTGGAGTCTTGGGACCTCGCAGCCCAACAACGAGGCCTCTGCGGCGAGATGTTGCCTCTCGGTGCCGCGGATGGTGCACTCCGTGGCAACGCTCTTCGTGATGCTGCAGCGGCCTCGGTCTAACGTAGGGGCCTCAAGAATCAGAAAAAGGATTTTTGGGGTCCTTCTTATAATTTGAGTATAACATACCCCCAAAACCTTTTCTAAATATTAAATTCCCTATATTAAACCCTTATAGTAACCCCTTCAAAGGAACCCTTAAAGGTACACTATTCTAATTCTTAAGGCCCCCATATTACAGCTTCGGGTAAAAGGGTTGGGATTGGGCCTTGAGCAGGATCCAGGTTTGGGACAGCAGGGTCATGAGCCAAGGTATGTGGTCGTGGGAGGATTGCAGAATGCATATATATATACACATGTATGTATATATATATATATATATATATGTATGTATGTATGTATGTATGTATGTATGTATGTCTATATGTATGTATGTATGTATGTATGTATGTATGTATGTATGTATGTATATATGTATATATGTTTATACATACATATACACATGAGTATATTTATATATGCACATAAACACATACATACACATAAACGTAAACATCTACACATAGGACATATACACATATCACATATACATATAGTACGCATACAGACACATTGACATAAGCATGTACATGTACATATACATACACTTATATTCATTTTCATATATACACACATCCACACATCTTTATACGCACATGCATACATGCAGACAGACAGAGACAGGCAGACAGACAGCCAGCCTTGTAGGCAGACAGACAGACAGACAGACAGACAGACAGACAGACAGACAGACAGACAGACAGACAGACAGACAGACAGGGACACCGAGGCAGAGACGGAGACGGCTAGGCAACTGGGCCTGTAGCCTGTCGCAGCATCTGCCACGTCTGTCTGGTGCTTAGTAGGGAATGGGGGAATGGGTTCTAGGGACTACCATAAGGGACCTTAAGGGACTATCATAGGGATCCATTCCCCCATTCCCTGCTAAGCACCAGACAGACGTACAAGATCAGGTTCTGGGTTCATGGCGTTTCCCTCGCCGCGTGCCTGAACCAAACCTGTGGCTGCGTGTCGGAGCCAGTTGCAGGAGGGTTTAAAGTTCAGGGTTTAATTAGGGGTTAAGGTCAACAGCAATAATTAGTGTTCTTCCTCATCAAGCGTTTTTTTCCTATGACTCTGTTTGAAGTGGCAGTGCGGCTGTGACTGTAAAAGCTGCACTTAAACTTTTTGTTACCGCTTAGCAGTAATACGCGCAACAGCTCAAATTGATCGGTTGCAGGTATCGAAAGGCTTCGGGAATCTGATGTTATACTGATTCGTGCGACGTTGGGTTGAAAGTTGGATTGTTGGTCTAGTGCTTGGTCGAGATTAGCTACTCCTGGCTTGTGGCTGTCGCATGTTTTTTTGGGTTTCGCAGTTGTTGAGATTATTTAGCTAATTAGCTGTCTTGGGTTGTCTGTGAGCTCGCCAATTGTGAAGCGGCACAAAAAACTAGGAAGTCAAGCTGCTGAATGGCTTGTTACCAGTGCTGCTCGACAGACAATGTGGAAGTTTAGATCCGTCCCCTGTTGTGGGCAAAGTGGGACGAGGTTTCCATTGCGAGTCCCTGCAAGAAGCAGAAGAAATAGACCACCGGAGTGTCAATCAAACCAAAAGTTTCGAGGAAGGTCGGTAAAACATACTATCGTAATTCGTAGTTACGGCAAGGGAACGTGTCGAACTGATACTAGGGTGTTCGAGGCCATATGCCATCACAAAGATTGAAGCCGTCATCAAAGTCATGCCAAGAAAGACTATTCCACTATATAGTAGAAGCCAACACCGTGAGCATGCTCGAGGCAAGCAGTACAGGTTGCTTTGTAGCTACTGCTACTGCTCCTGCTGCTGCTACTGCTAATAAGGCACTGCCACTACTACTACTACTACTA